TAAGTAATAAAAATAAAGAATTATTATTTAATTGAAGAGTTAATCTGAGCCACACATAATGTTCCAATCTAATGGCTAGGAATGAGTCTCACATTCACACTTTAAATATGTGGACTCATTAATCCCTATACATATGTATATATATATATGTATATATATATATATATATATATATATATAATTTTTTAACAAATAATATGTGCTTTATAAAAATAATAATAATAATTTCATAAGATATTAAACGTAAAATTTGGTTTTTAATCACAATAAGAAAATCATAGTAAGTTGTATTGAAAAGGTATTATATATGGGATAAAAAAATTAAATAAAATAATTAAATAAAATATTTGATGAAAATAGAATACATTAATTGCCTTTGACTTTTCTTACTACTAATTCTAGCAAATAGTATGACTTTTTATATAAGTATATATATGGCTTGAACTTTCCATTTTTCACTTGGGAGTTTCGATTTTAAGTTATTTTCAGTTAAAGACTTATTTTTATATTCTAGTTATGAATTTAAGACACCAACTAATTTTATATTTTTAAATAAACATATAAACCAAAATACTATTATTTAAAAATTTATATTTTAAAATAATTATAAATATCTTAGTAAGAAAATTCATTTAAGCTAAATTAATTTTGAACAAATATAACTTATTTGAATTAAGCTTAAATGAATTAATTTTCTTACGTAACTAGTTTTGCAAATATATTTAATACTTTTATTATAGGTATTAAGTTTATATATTCTTAAATTTTTCAAAAATATGAATTTTATTCACAAATAATATTTTCTATAATTTTATTTTTTGAAAAAAGAAGTATTTTTCTCAAGTTTATTTTTTAATGTTATCACATATTTAGATTAAAGTTAAGGTAAAATTTATTTTTGAACTTTTAAAATAGATTTCATTATGCTTTTGCATTAATGTAAATTATGAAATAATTATATTACTTTTACAAAAGATATTTAATATTTTCCATTATAATTACTTAAAAATAAATTAAAAAATAAAAAGAGTATTGTGGTTTACATAATTATGCCAATGTACAAAGTGATTTGGAGTCTTAATTGAAAAGTAGAATATAAAAGAAGGTCCAATATTAAGGATAACTTAAAATTTAAACCTCTGATGAAATAACAACAAATTCAAGAATGATTTTCATAGCATTCTGTGCAGAATTTGAGATCTAGATTCAATCCATATGTTGAAAATGAAAAGATAGTACAGTGGCGACTGCGACACATTCCTATTTATAGGGATTACAAAATATCAATGAAACCTATAACAAATAAGACAAAAGAGTACAATAGCTGGATATTGATCATAGCTCAATTGTGTCTTCTTGTACACGGTGACTGTGTATGCTTATGCATGGGACCATGCATGTTCTCCAACAAGTCAGATGGAATTATATGAGTGTGCATTTTATCATTCCCCCTCAATTTGAACGAGCTACTGGAAACTAGACCGAGCTTGTTCCTCATGCGAGTGAAAAATTGTCCACTTAATGGTTTAGTAAAAACATCGGCCACTTGATCAATTGCAGGCACATGTTGAACTGAGATGAGTCTCTCTGCCACCTTTTCTCTTATGAAATGAAGGTCTAACTCCATATGTTTAGTTCTTGAGTGGAACACGGGGTTGACAGATAAAGACACAGCTCCCAAGTTATCACTCCAAATGATAGATGGTTTAGGCAAATGGATGTTTAATTCTTGCAGTAGGGACCTTATCCAAACTAGCTCACAAGTAGCTCATGCTATACTCATAAACTCAGCCTCGGTGCTTGATCTTGAAACCACTCCTTGCTTCTTAGATGTCCAAGAGATTAAGTTGTCTCCTAAAAACACACAATTTCTAGAAGTTGACCTTCTATCATCTACATCACATCCCCAATCAGCAT